TTTCTCCATCTCCATCGCCACATCCACCCCCTCTCATCTCAGCTCCTTAGTAACATATTTTTTAATTAAAAAAATTCTTTTTTCTCCTTTTTTTTATTATTTTTTGACAGAAAAGAAAAACATGAAAGAGAACATAACTCTTCTATTCAATTATTCTTTCGTCCTTAAATCATCCTGAAATGCTGAAAACGGCTAAGCATTTGCTGTTTCTTTTTTTTTAATTTTTTCCGTGTTTTCATTTTCAATTTAAATTCCTTTTTTTCTTCTCTTTGTTTGTTCATTATGTTATCCATAGACTCTCTCAATCTCCCTCTCCCTCTCTCCCTTCTTCTATCACATTCTTAACCATATACTTCTCTCACTATCTCTCCTTAAAACCATTTTCAATTTTATTTCTTTTCCTTTCTATCATTCTTTTTTTTCTTTTTTTTTCTTTCTTCCTCCTTTCTTTCTTTTTTTTTATTTTCTTTTTCTTCTTCTCTTCATCTTTCTCATTGCCATTTCTTGTTGTTTAGATGGACATGTTGCCAATGTTGCTTTTCACTTCTCTACTTCATGCAGAGGTTGAAGGATAAATAAACAGCCTAAGGGGTTGTCATCAGAAATGATTATCAAAGGCGCCAAACGAGAGTATCAATCCATTTTTGAAATAGTAAACACACTCTCTCTCTCTCACCCCCTCACTCTCTCTCTCTCGCTCACTATCCATATATCTCTATATCTCTTATGAATTCAATTTTTAAAGATTATTTTGAGTTATCATTTAATAATTTATTTTTTGTTTTTCAAATCTCTCTTTCTATCTCTTACCCCTCCCTCCTCTCTTCTTTTCTCTCCCCCAACAAGGAATGTAACGGTTCATTTTGAGGTTTTGTTTGCTTGTAACGTTTTCTTAGAAAGAGCCAACGGAACATTTTAATTTCTTTCATTGTTTTCTTCTATCTTGATTCTATAAAGTCAGATGTTGATTGTGATTCGATTTTGCCCATTTCGTGAATCATTTATCCTATTTCTTTTATTTTTTTTCTCAACAAATTCTCTTTCGTTTGAGCTTTGAGACGTTTTTGGTTTTGGAACGAAGAAAAAACATTTTCTTCTTTCGGCTTTCGAACCTAGTTATGTGAATATCTCAGTGAATTATTATGTTATATTCTCTCTCTCTTTCACACACACGCTCTCTCTCTCTCTTTATCTTTCATTTCCTTTACTTATTTGAACCCTCGAACTATGTTTTCTTTTTGAAACTTTACTTTGTGGATATCCCGAGTTCAATTATTAGCATTGAATGTATAGAAACAAGAATGAGGCTCTTTTCTTTTTAAAAGTAATACGTCTTTGTGAAAACCGACCGCTGACGTTTGGTCGATCAGATCTTTGATGCTCTGAATGATGCCTGGGTTTGGTTCATGGATGGGGAAATTCACAAAGAGCTATAGAGATCTAGAATGACCGCAGGGCCGAGATGAGTGAACATACATCTCTCAGAGTTCAGCCAGAGACATCCGAATGAGAGAACAATTTGTGAGCGTGTGTGCGAACAAGAAAAGTAACTGACTCACACGAAAGTGAGTTGAATTTAAAGAGAGAGAGAAAACTGAATGTCCCGCAGGCATCCCACTAGTAGGAGGAAATGGACGAGAAAAAAAGAATGAGAGAATCACGAGAATGCGATAACAAGAGAAGGAAAAAGAGGAAGCGGAAGGAAGTGGGCGTTTAGCAGAAGATTGTGCCCTAGAGAAATAAGGGATAGAGAGAAGACACTGGAAAAGTGACAAGTAAATTCTGGAACTGAACTACTCAAAGTGTGAAGAGTGGCGCAATTGGATTTGAGCTATTGGGGCGAGAGTCTGCTGGGTAGTTTCTGACAGACAGGGATAACGGATTGAAATAAGATAGAAGGACGAAAAACGGAAAGATTATAGCCTCACAAAAAGAATAGAGAGGCGTGACAAGTGTTATAAGAATGAATAGCTCAAACGACAACTGACAATTAAAGTTTCAAAAGTATTTTGTGAACTTCCTTCTCTTTTTATTTTTGCAGAGAAAAAAAAGAGAGAACGGTTTGTTTAAGTCTGATGAATAAGTCATCATGTTTTTTCACTTGTAACTTCATTTTGAAATGAGTTTTCCATCTTTGGAGATGTTTGGTCATTTAAGAGATCTCCCTATTTCTATCTTGTTCTTCCTTACTCTCTCCTTCTCTCTTCCTCTTTCTATCTCTCTCTTCTCTCTTTCTCTCTCTCTCTATTTGAAACATGTCGTGAGCAGCCATTAAATCACTCATTATTTAACCTATCCTATATCTGTTATGCAAATGCATGCCCACTACCGCTGACACATGTCTATTACCACCAAGATGGTTGACTCATTAACAATTAGCTAGGACCTACGTGAATTGAGTGAATACATCTTTGGTGTGCTAAAGCCTCATTTGCTTCTCATTCATATCTCATTCTTTTGTTATTATCTCATCTGACCACTCGTCATCATTGTCATTTCTAATAGTAAACAGACCAAAAAAGGAAACAAAAAAACGAAAGTAGAACATCGATGAAACCACATCATCTATCATTAATAATTTAAATGTTATGAAATGTAGGAATATAACAAAAAAGTACCAAGGAAATTGAGTTAAAGGGAGAAAGTAGAGATAAAGATAGTTAGAGAGAGAGAGACAGGCTGAAGAGGAAGAAAGGAAGAGCCAAGAGGATGATGAGGAAAGAAAAAAAAAGAAAGAAAATCAGTGAGTAGGAAGGAGAAGCAAGTTCTTTAGGTGAAAAAGAAGGAAAAAAAATTTTTTTTTTTTTGCTCGAAACAATAGAGAAGCTCCAAAGTCCTTTGGTATTGTTTCATTTCTGAAGTTCAGTTCTAATTTTCCTTTTTCTAAGCTTTTGTTCTGTTTATGAATTTTCTAACAAAAAAAGTTTCAAAATCTGCTGGAAACAGTGAACATTCTTATTTTTTTTTTCTGTCGCGTTGAGAACTTCAAGTGTTTTTGAGCAGAAAAAAAGGTTTTTTTTCTGTGCTGCAGTTACTCTCGTTTTGTTGTAATTTTTGTTTTTGAGCCATATAAAGAGAGAGAGAGAGAGAGAGATAGAGGGAGAGAGAGAGTAGGAGAAAGTATAGGGGGGGGGGGGGAGATAACAAAATTGTTATAAAATGAAATATATATTTAAAGAGAGAGATAGAGTGAGATAGAGAGAGAGAGAGAATGTGTTAAACAACTGAATATGACTTGTAATACAACAATGAGAAACATACTCATCCTTATCTCTATACTACTGCTTACAACCATAACATGCGTTCACTCCTACTTTCAACCTACTCTCATTTCCTTTTCCTACCTTCCATCCTTCTCATATTCTCTCTCTCTCTCTCTCTATCTATAGACTATATATGATAAGTACTAATTATAACTAATTAACCATGTTAACTATATCCTATCTATATCTAACTATTATTCAAATATAATTATTCATTTCATTAATTCACAAGTTATATTATGATAACTATTTAAATTTTATGTAAATGTCAGATGTGGTGACATCTTCTTTTCGTTTTTGCGTTCTATTTCTGAATTGTCGTTCAGTTGTCGTGTGACTGTAAACATTGCATAGCCCATTCTTAGGGCTCAAGGAAAACAATTTTCTATTCGATATCTTCAATTTTTATTTATGCACTTTATATTTCTCTGTTATAGATCTCTCTCTCTCTCTCTCTCTACACCTCCTACTATCTATCTCCTTATATACTATCTATACTATACTATCTATACTATTCGTTTTTCATTCCTTTTTCTTTCTTTTCTTCTTTTTCTCCTTTTTTTTTTGTTGCAATTATAACCAATTATCGTGCAGAAACTTCGATGAGTGCACACAAATTGAGGCTGGGCTCTGCCGAATGCTCATTGCTCAACGAGAGTACTCATTTACCCATTGCTTATTTAACGTCTAAATAGAACTTAAAGGGCAAAAAACATTTGAGCCGCTCTCGTTCTCTGAATATCCAGGATTTTTACCCAACACAGCCAATAGAGAATGGAGCATTTGTTTTAAAAGACTTCCGCCGTTAAATTATTCTGATCTCACACCCTCCATCCCACCTCTCTCTATCTCTATACCTTACCTCTCAACTTCATCTCTCTCTTTCTCTCTCTCTTTACTTACCCTGAAAGTAATAATTAGGCAAATTTTTCTGCAAGCTTTACACGTTAAGAAGCTTACTTTTTGGAAGAAGAAATTGTTTGACAAAACTCGCAGCTGTTTTAAAAGAATGTGTGAAATGAGTCGTGATGTTGAGGATATTCGTTGATTTCAAATGTTATCCGTCTTTTTTTGACTTCTTTCTACATCTCATAGTATCAATCTATGTTGTGTGTGTGTGTGTGTGTTAAATACGTTTTTGAAAATCGTAATTCTCCAAGTATCTCAACCAATATGAATCTATTGAATTGTGTTTTAATATTTCCTTCTCGTTACTTTTTCTCTTTCTCTCTCTCTCTCTAACTCTCTCTCTCTCTCTCTCTCTGTATATATCCACATATATCTCCCTCCACCCCATTGCCCACTCGTTTCAGCTTTTCCCTCTCTCTCCCATATACTTTCATACCCTTGCTTACGCCTGTTTCTCTCTTTGATATAGGTTATTGTAAGTAATATGATCTGTGAACTCATTTTTTTTTCTCTTCTTTGAAAAACGACTATATATTCCAAGTGCAGATCTCAATTGTTTCAAGTGAGGCAATGATAGAGAGAAACACAGAGAGAGATAGAGAGAGAGAAAGAAAGAAAGATAGAAAGAGAAAGTAAAAAAGAGAGTTTTGCCCATATAATTTTACTTTTCTTTTCCGATACCTTTGTCGGTTTTTAGCCATCTTAGTCCTATTTATCTTGTTTATATTCTTATTTCTCTCACATAAAATCATTTTTCCTGTTTATTTCAGTTGATATGTCGTGTGCCTTTGGATTACTTGAAAACTCATATTGAAGCGTCGTATATCAATGGCTTGGGCTCTACAAAATGTAAGTTTTCATCCTTATACTTGTATCAAAAATGAAGAATTTTCTTTATGAATTGAAAGAGGAGAACATAGAGAGAGAGATAGAGAGAGAGGGTATAGAGAGAAGAAGAGAAATAAGAATAAAATGTATTTAAATGTATCAAACAACAACATAATGCTTTGATTTGTAAGACAAATTTCTTTTTTTTTGTCAACCAAAATACGTGTATCACCGGCAACCATCGCTTCAAATCAGCTTGTATATCACGGAATTGTTTTTCTAAATTGCCAACGAGAAAAAGAAAATTTCATTTCAAAGATTTCGGTGATGGAACTTCAAATTTTCTTTTTTGGAAAAAAAAAAGAAGAAGAAGAAGAAGAGGACGAAGAAGGGATGGTGATGCGTGCGAGAGAGGGGTGTAGGTTGAGTGAAGAAGAGAATACAAAGGACAATTAGATTGTTTTTGGCTGTCCTTTGCAATTTGGATGATCACTCTCGACATCTTCTTCTACTTCTTTTCCTGAAATAAATAAAAAAAATGGAAAAAGATTTTAATTTTCTTCGTTTCACCCTAAACATCCCCCCCCCTCCAAGCATCACCGTTATTCTTCCTTCACATCCATATCAGGGTCGTATCTTTCCATTAATTATTTCTGAAGGCATGAATAGATGATGATGATTCTTCCTACTTCTTCGTCTTCTTCAGAATGAATTTATATTCCATGATCATCTGAATGATAATGAATGTCTTTTGCAGTTTTCAATGAAACATTTTCAGTTTCTTCTTCTTCTTCTTCACATTCTGTTCCATCTCTCTCTCACTCTCTTCAATTCATCTGTTCCATCATTTGATCTCTAAGACATACAATCAAATTGATAGCTTGAGCCATTGTATCACAACTTATCATTCACATTGCTCTCCCCCCCATCCAGCCTATCTCATTCAACCCCCATTTTATATCTTCATTAAAGTAACAAAAAACATAATTTATTATTATAAAGAAGAAGGTCTTTCTCCAAACATTCATTGTTTCTTTCGCTCTCCTTCTACCTCTACCCATCTCTCTCTCTCTATCTCTTTCTCAAAGACTTATTAAGAATTTAAGTTAAAAACGTTTGAAAGGGCAACAATAGATGAAACATATTCAGTTGTTTTGACGTTTTTTGAATGTTATTTCTACATCTGCATAATCTTCCTTCTAATGTATTAATAATTCTTTTTTTTGTGTCTGTGTATGTATGTGTGTGTTAGTTGGAAAAAGGACCATTTTGAGAACCTATTTTTTTGAATAAAAATAGTCGTTGTCGTCGTCGTCGTCGTCGTCGTCGTCGATGTCTCCTTGCCATCAACATACTCTCTTTCTTTCTTTTTTCTCTTTTTTTCTTTTTTTTTTTGCCTTTTTCTTGTTTTTGCCCATTCACAATTTTTTCTGCAAATAGTGAAAAACAAATTATCAATAATCTGTCTTTTCGACTGCACTTTCTGTGTTCTCTGTGTATACGTGTACGTGATGTGTGTATGTGAGAAGAAGGAAAAGGAAAAAAAAAAAGAAAAAAAAAAGGAAAAACCCTTCTCTGATATCACTTTTATTTTTCCTCCTTTTTTCTTTTTTTTCTGTTCTCCTTCTTTGGTCCTTTATTCTTCATCCATTTTCAATACTCAAAATTGAAATGAATAAAAAGGAGGAGAAGATGGAGAAATAAAAATAAAAAAAGTAGATGAAGGAGATGAAGAAGGATGATGAGATTGAAATGAACGGACAATTCAAAATGAAATATAGCAAAGTTGGCATAAACGGAGAGAAATAGATCTCTCTCTCTCTCTCTGTTTCTCTCTTGCTATACTTACATTCCCCTCTATAAATCTGTAAATGTTTCGGAGTTCAATCAATATTTGTCTGAATACACACACACAGACGGACACATAGAATAGACAGAGATTTGCGTTTCACTTTTTCTCCCCTCTGGCTTATTTACTTGGTTGTTTAATTGAAAGTTGGTTGATCATTATAACCATTTGATTGAGCAAAAACAATCTTTTTTTTTCTTCTTTGTTTCATTATTTTTCTCATCTCCTTCATCTTCATCATTGACGTTGTGGTCGTCGTCGGCGTCGTCAACGGCTTTCTATCATTAGATCGTTTTCCTGATTGTTGTCAGCTGAAACATGTGAAATGAACTAAACACAATGAACTTAGATTCTAATCACTAAAAATCAATGGTTGAGAAGATGCGTTCGAAAGTCGAAAAAATCGTTTTCGATTTCCTTTTTTTTTAATTCCTACTCATTTTACTTTAAAGCTTCCTTATTGGGCATTAGGAGTAAGATTGATTTAGTGCTTCCGAACAAATTCCAATCCACTCACTCAAATGGCTGCAAATGTGGAAAATAGAAGGAAAAAAACACTTTTTTTCCACCTAATCGAGTTGGAGCTTTCTTCTTTTTCCGTCGGAAAAAAAAATTTTTTTTTTCTTCCTTTCTGAGGAAAAATAAAAAAAATAAAATTTCATTTTAAAAAGAGTCCAGAAGCTATTTGGGAAAAAGAACATGTTGATATGGTCATGATTCATTGTTTACGATTGACGGTTGATTCATTGTCTTCTTTTCCATTTTTTTTTTCTTCCTTCTTTCGTCCATTTATGGCATATATTTTCCCACACAGAAAATTCTGTATCCAACTACTAGCTGTATGCTGCTGTTGCTGCTTCTGCTCTTCAATATTCCTTTATTTTTCCTTTTTTTGAACAGGTAAGCTGGCAGTGCAGCAAGTATACACAGGTAGAAGGAAACGGTGTAGTAGAAGAGAGAAATGTTATGCTAAGCCATGTGTGAAAAAACAAGTTTCAGTTTCAATCGACGTTGAATGTTCCTGTTAATTACATGAAAATCTTGTTTTACTTCTCAAATGTAATGATTGGAACTGAAAAAATGTTGAAAAAAAAAAAGATTTTTTTCAGTTTTTGGCATATTTGTCCGCATTCTCATAGAGAGAGAGATAAGATGAAGGAAGGAGGGAAAGATATAGAAAGAAAGAGAGAGACAGACAGACATTTGTTTGTAAAAAAAACGGTTTCTTGCAGTTATTTTCTGAGAGTTGTTGTGTGCTGAATACAGATTGATGAACTTCCACTTGATTTGTCATAAGCTTAAATGCAATAACATAACGTTCATTTCTTTCGCGATCCCAATTGCGACAGTTTTTGCAATTGTGTGAAGCTGTCGCCGTCGACCCCCCCCCTCCCCAACCCTTCAATTCACTTTTTCTATTGTTAATATAGTACAATTTACTCTCTTACAATCGCACTTCTATACATAATCTTTCCGCCATGTAGACATTGTCTCTATAGTCTCTTACACTTCCTGTTGCATTTCAATCGTTCTCGTTCTTTCAATAGATCTGTCAGAAAACTATTGACAAATATCGAACGACGTCTACCTCTTTTCAATAACGGCACGACGTCGTCATCCCATTTTTCATCTTAATTTTTTTGTGAAAAAAAAAATTCAAACAGCCATTCGGTTTTTAGTAGATAGAAGAAACTGTTGACTGTTTGCCGTATGCTGTCGGGACGTCGTCGCCTTTCTCCTTTTATAATATTTGTCTAAGTACGCTGCATGTCTACTATTACAGCATCATCTTTATCAGATGTTTCGTCTTTCTCTCTCTCTCACATTCTGACTCTTTCATCCACTCTCTTTATCTAACTCTCTCTTTCTTTTTTCTCTCCTATTCGATTACTTTCTCTTATAGCATCTCTCTCTCTTCAACTTTTCACTTCTTCAACTTTTGCAATTCTTTTGTGCCTCGTTCAACAAAAAAGAGAAAAGAGAGAGAGTATTTCAAACTTCATTTCATCCAATCATTTTCATCATTTGAAAAAAATGGTCCCAGACAAGTTTCTGATGGTACATTCAAATGGTTTTGGAAATGATAAACTGCCGATACTCTCTCACTCTCTCTCTCTCTTTACTGTGTTCAGTTGATCTCTTTCTCCCTTTCATTCGCAACTTTCATTGACATGCATTGAATTCTATTGGAATTTTTCCTTCTTTATCATCTATTTTTCATATTTTATTGCCCTCTCTACACGAATATTGATTAAACAACTGACCTCGCTTCATCCTTCCCTCTCATCATGATCACGAGTTCCTCATTAATTTTCGACAAGTGACATCACCATCACTATAGAATAGCAATCTTTCCCTCCCTCCCTCTCTCTCTCTCTCTTTAACACATTTTATATATTTCACTTCTGATATATATTTTTAATTTTTATTTCAACAATGAAATGAAAAAAGAAAAAATAAAGATGAAAATTTCTTCCTCCAATTCTACTTTGGAACATTAAATGATTCATGTGTCTTTCATTCAACTCATAGAGCAACAATGAATAGATCATGAAACATTGAAAATGTTCAGAAAAGAGACTCAATTTTTCGCTTCAGGAAAAATAAAAGAGAAATGACATTTAGAGAGAGAGAGAGAGATGAAGGTTTGTGTGGAAGATACAGAGAGAGAGAGAGAGGTAAAGAGAGATAGCTGGATGGATAGATGTGAGCTGAATATAAAAGAGAAAGCAGAAAAACCTTTTCTGGTATACACTCTCTATTATACTCTATCTCTCTCTCTCTATCTTATAAAGAATTTCGAATGATACTTTGGAAAGAACTTGTAACAATGTAATGAGAAACTAGACCACAAATGCTTCCAATTATTACATCACAGAAGGACATCAGTCGTATGCTCTCTGAATGTGACAAAAACAGTTTTTGTCTCGTAAATAACGTAAAGTGCACAAACTAAATTGTTAGAGAAAATGAAGAAAATGAATGAGAGTTGAAAGAGAAAGACTCGTTTCAAACATAAAGGAAGGAAATAGTATGGAGATGTTGTAGAGATCCATGTTTCTAAAGCAGATGTCATGAGACAAAAAAAAAGAAAAAAAAAAGAGTTTCTGGTGCTCCGGACATAATGTCAGATGCAGTCAGCCGTCCTTAAAAGTTAGAGAGAGTTGCGTTGAGGGACAGATGGAGTAGTAGAAGGATGAAGAAGAGGACGAAGAAGAAGAAGAAAAAAGTTGTTCTATTGCATTTGAAAAGCTCCCTCATTTGGTATATTTCTTTTATACTTTGTGTTTTTCTTCGTCCTTCTATATCTCCCTCTCTCTCTCTCTCTCTTTTAAGTCTATAGTAATCGATTAAGAGAGTAAAAGATAGAGAGGGAGAGAGAGAGAGAGAGAGAGAGAGAGAGAGAGAGCTGCTTCAAAGCTTTGTTCATTCCATTCCCACTAGCTTACCCTCCTATTTTATCGTAGTTCTCTAATCCAGAAACACTATTTTTTCCGTTTCACATAGTTCAATGTGCGTGACAGCATCGTTAGGCATCCGCAGCTGTAGAATTTTTCAGCTCGAAACATGAAAATTTTGTTGGAACATTACATCATTTTCTTTAAGCATGTTTTACATAAAAAATTCAATTTATATATTCGTGTTTCATATTTACTGTGTGTATGATGTGTGTTGTTGTTACAAGATATGCATCTGAATATGGTCATTCATTTGTGTTGTCATCTTCATTCATCACCATTTCATCTTTCCTTTGCTTCCTTCTTCCTTATACCAATTTCCTACCCATCCTCTCATCTTCTTCTTCTTCCTTCTTCCCTCCCCAACTATCCAACCTCCTCAATATCATATGCATAATTGAATTTTGAAAGCCATATGTGAAAAATGCGTTTGTTGGAGTCTTTCTTTGAATGGAAAGGAAAAAAGAAAAAGAGACATCCTTCTCGCAACTATTGTTTTGAGAAACTGACAAGATTTCGGATTAGACTAATCCTTCATCTCATTAGAGAAAAGACAAAGGAAAAGGAATTTTTTTTTTCATCTCCTACATTGCCGTCTTGCTCATTTAAAGGATTCAACAGAATCAAAGTCTGATATCCAAAACTGAACGATAAACCCGTATAAAAAAGAAAAGAAGAAGAGGAGGAGTGAATGAGATAAAGGAATGAGAGAGAGAGAAAGAAAGAGATGGATAGCATAGACATCTGCACATACACATCTACACGTACCCATCTACATAGAAAACATATCATTAAGATATCTTTCATTCCTTTTGTCTTATTACAGTGTTTTTTTTTTGTGAGATTGTTATCAAAACAATCTTGAAATAACAAATTATTTCCATTTTTATTTTTGAAGAAAATAATGAAAAGAGGAAGAGATAGAGAGAGAGAGAAAGAGAGATAATTGATATTCAGCTTGTGAGATATCAGCATAATAAATGAAAATTAACAGAAAATGTTTCAATGTCTTTCAAATAGAATGCTTGCATAGCCAGCAAGCTACATGCAGCAGCAGCAGCAGCAGCAGCTTGTAACAACCATTTTGAGCTTTTTGTTTTTGATGGTATTATTGATCAAAATAATTCTTTTCTTTCTTCATGAGATGAAAAAAGAAAAAAAATTTCTTTCCTTGTTTCATTATCTCTGTCATTCGCATTCTGCTGATGCTCAATACATACACACAGCCATATACGTGCACGTGTTTATAGAAGAAAGAAAGAGAGAATGAGCTGTATACTGTTATCAAAGACTTTTTTTCTCCTTATATTCTCCTTTTCCCTGTAAAATTGATCTAATGAGACAATATTATATCAATACCATATATTATTTATTATATTATAGGATAAGCCAGCATTGGCCTGTCCGGCTCCTCTCATTCCCCGAGTTGGCATTATACAAACACAACTCGAAGAGTTCTTGAGACGATCAGCGCACATTCCTGCTGTGTAAGTCATTCATATGAGTCATCAGCATTTTCAGCTAGGACTTCTTCAAATGTTATTATGAAATTATGTTTATAAAACACATTTCAGCCTTGCTGAACTAGCACAGTCTACTGCCTCATTACCAACAGCACGCGCGTCAGCATTTTCTCGCGTAGCACCAACATTCACCACTGGCTGTCTGTCGACAGTGCTTCAACCAGGCTTGGCTGCAATGCCAGCCTTGCTTAATCGACTAAATGGAGAAACAATTCTACAAACGGCGTTAACAACGCCACTCAAGCCTATCCCCAACAATGACAGGTAACATGCTTCATCCTCTTAAAAGCCATTTAAGTCCATGAGACCAGAAAAAATAATTTTCGTTAAAAATTCATTTTATTTATGCTTTTGGTAACATTTTGGGCATTATAATGAAATGAATTAAATATTCTTTTGCTTTTCTCCTCTCAACTTCACCCCCCTCCCCAGGCCCGACTCTCCATACTCCTTGTGTTCATTTTCAAAGAGTCAGCCTACTAAACAGCTTCTTCTCTATATTATAGTAAAAATTATTTTATTTATGCTTTTAGGGTGGATATGGTTGGCTTTAGAGTCAAAGATCCATACGAATGGAGGGTTGAAGATATTGCATCATTTCTTCTTGACATAGCAAAGCGATATAGTATTCCATTTGAAGAAATGAACATGCATAGGGTTGTGAGTAAACAAATGATAAGCAAAAATGCTGATTTTGAAATATTTAATAGATGGCATCACTAACGGGCCCGCAGCTGTTATATATGACAGAAAATGATTTTATTGAACGTGATCCAACATTCGGCTCACTCATATACAAAGAATTACAAAAAATGATATCAGGTTAGATAATTATACCATATAATATATATAATTATATATATTTCAGAAGATACACTTATTGATAGCATTATGAGAAAATACAATACTGAAGAAGAAGAATTAGCACGAGCAGCACGAACAATACAGTTCAATACAATGGCTAATATTCAAAATATTCAGCAATGCCAATCTCCATTCAATCAACAAGCTGCTAAAGTACAAGAGATTGTCCAACGATCATCTAGTATCATTGATGCTCTTCCATGCTCATCAGCTGATACAACATTCTCCATATTTCCTACTGAAACAACGAACTTGTCAAATGCAAGCTCCGTTTCATGTATTCCCTCTACATCTCTATCTGATCACTCAATAGCCGAAAATAACACAAGTTATGTGAATACAGTTCGTATTCCAACACCCTCTGTTTCTGATGTCATTAATCAAAGTTTGGAAGCAGTTCAGAGTTTGAGTCAGACTAGCTTAACAACTCAACAGTCTCAGCAACTTCTTCAACGACTTCCCGAACAAGTAGAGATTACTTTCAGCAAAGGTATCAAACATCTCTTTACTTAGCTAATCCATTCTCATTATAGCTGCTTGTGCCGCCACCACAGTTTCAATTCCTAGAAATACACCCATTTCTAGTGAAGCTACAGCTCAGTTGAGGAATCATTTACAGTCCCGAATGAATCAACTAACCAAGCCAAAGCCTTCTTCAGTTGAGCCAGCAGTAGTAGTTCCGCAACAAACACAGAAAAGTAATTTTCGGAAGAATAGCTCAACTCATGAATTATTATCAATTCAGGACCGAAAAAAGACATCAATGGTGTGAGAATAAATAAGGATGGCAGGCCACGGAAGAGATCACAGCACACGAAAGGCAATAAATTGTGGGAATTCATCAAAGATGCACTTACTGATCCAGAAACATGTCCTTCAGTAGTACGGTAAGTAATTTCAATATATCATTTCTATCTATTTATTCTTCTGAAATCAAAACTTTCAAATTATATATTCAATTTATAGATGGGAAGATCCAGTTCAAGGAGTATTCCGAATTGTTGAATCTGAAAAGCTTGCACGATTGTGGGGTGAGCGTAAGAAGAACAGCAAAATGACATACGAAAAGCTCTCACGTGCTATGAGGTATATAAATCAATCTCAATATATACATATAATTATATATAATTAAGAACATATTATGAGAAACAGATATTAGTTCCTGTACCCAAGACAGGAATCTATCCGAAGAAATTAGTTTACAAGTTCGGACCGGGTGCATATAAAAATGAAATTGTCAGCATGTGTAGGTAATACATATACTCATATAGTTAATATATACTAATTATATATATTTTCAGCACATGATGTAATATATACAGAAGAAGCTTTGTTCTACAAATACAAAAACAGATTATAATCATAACTATAACGATATATATATTATATATGAATAATTAAGGAAAAACATCATCTCTCTCTCTCATCCCTCCTTTCCCTTCCCCTTCCTACACCTCAGCCAACAAGAACTTACAATCAATCCATCTCCTATCATGTTTATCAATTACTTTATAGTTTTTGAGATTTACAATAAAGAAAACAAACGAAAACCATTTCTAGTCGTGAAATTGCATTTCTTTCAATGTACTCAAAACTCTCTTTATTCTCTTCATTCTCTCATTATCATTCTTAAATGATTAACTTAACTTGTTTCTTTAACAAACACACAATCTTCAGAGAAAATAAGTTTTATAACAAAGGAGAATATCCCTCCCAATACCCCCATCATCCCCCTCTCCCTCTCTCTTACTATTCATACAGTACCCTTCATCATCATCCTTCATTTATAAAATGTAGTTGTATTATATATCCTTTGAATTGATGATCTCTCATTGGCCATGCATTTCCAAACTTAATCATTTAACATTAGATTTCTATTATACAAACACTCTTCTCTCTCTCTCTCTTTGGTTTTACCTTTCTCCTCTCTCTCTCTCTCTCTCTCTTACTCTCTTTATATCCTTAGATGGTTATATTCTCTATATCCATCTTCATCTTTCTTATTTTTTGCCGAAGATTGTAAATCTAATTTATAATCCCCGCTCAACACATCTACTGTTATACACCTGTTTAGCTTGTTTCGTAGTCTGATGAGAAACCTCATAAGCACAGTAATGGATGACTATTACAGAGTATATAACTATATATTATATATTATATATATATAGTATATAATATATAAATAACAAACAAATATTAAATACTTATACACGAATCTTTGTCACGCCGTGTGTATGTACCCATTGAATGCGTTTTCTTTTTCCGTTTTTTTATTTTTATTATTATTATTATTATTTTGTCTTTTAATTACATTGTATACCATTGTTTCGTTTTCAAATATTAAAAATAAATAAAAAATCTATTATAAACTATATGTATATAGTTAATATATGTTTCAAGTTTATATATATATATAAACAATACAAAGTATCAATACTTTACATACATATTTCATTATCATTTGATATTGCTTGATTGATAAGAATGAATATTGACTCCTCTCTCTCTATCTGTAGTTTGATAGGTGTGTAGTTTGATTCTGGACAACAAGGAAGAAGGAACATTCTAGAATCAATTGCCATACAAGGTCAATATCTCACCCCATCCTATACATACTACACTCACATACATGTGCACATCATAGAAATCCAATTTCATTGTTTATAGTCATCATTAGTCTAGTTGGTTATATCATCATATATATATTGGATTGAGGATTACTGTTTAACCTATACCTTACATTCATCATCATATAGTTAAGGATAAGGAAATATGAATTTCTTTAATATATTATCGAAAGATGATTGCATTTATACAGGTTGTTATATATTTTATATATATTATAGTTAACTATATGTTATTAGGAACGTTGTTGTTGTCGTTCTTGATTGCATGGGCTGTACGTTCTTCACGAAATGCATGGTTAATGCAACATGGAGTTGGAGTGATTGGATTAGTTCTTGCACTTATTGTTATCGGTATGTATATTGGTTTATACTGATTGTTATTGTTGTTTAGGACCGAAAATCTTGTACTCACTCATATTAGCCATTTTCACAATTGGTTGTATCAAGACACTTCATTACAAGTAGGGTACTATTTGAAAAATAGAATTATAAAAATGATATTATAGGTACTTACCGATTACTGTATTTGTTGGCTCATTCATCTATTTGCTTGTTCTACGTATGATTCATTTAATCATTGATGTTGATGAATTAGCTAGCCATGCTAATGTTATTCAATTGATAATGACACTTCGGGTTGGAACTGTTAAACAACTTTCACCGATAAACTGATTGTTTAGGCTGTTGGTATTGCTTATGAAGTTGCTGATTCAAAGAAAGCTGCATCTGCAAAGAAAAGTGATGAAAACGTTAAGCCAAGCAGAACTCTGCTTGTGGAACCAACTTCTCTTGAAATCTTCAGTTATCTCTATCATTTCTGTGGACTGTTCACAGGTAAACCCTATATGAAGACTTTTCTACCAACTTTAGCGTTGCAGGACCATATTACACTTACGCCATGTTCTTGGATTCTCAAACCCTTCTCCTTCATAACGATGTATCTCCTGTTAATGAAATCAAAACACGATTTATGAGACTCTTATGGTCTGTGCCAGTCTTCGTTACTCTCAACATCGTATTCCCGATCAATGTGAGTTATAGTATCAATCCTTTAGAATAATCATTTATCCAGGCTCTGAGAGATGATTCCATCTACAACTTACCATTCACTTATCTCCTCATATATGCTGCTGCTCTCTTCACTACATTCCGTTGTCGAGTTTACAGGTAATGTTCTCGAATTGTTGTCAAAGTTCTCATTATGAAAGTACAGTGCTTGGGCAATCTCCGAGAGTATTTGCGTTACATTGGGAATTGGAATATACCCATCTTGTACTGAACCTGCAACAGTTGTTGGACCTAAAAAGTTCAATGATGTGGAGTACGTTACGAACGTTGAAGATGAAAACAAAATGACGTATGTTTCAGAGAACTATTGAAAAACAAGACTATTGAGTTTGATTCAAATGCCATCAACAACTTGGACATCTATAACGTGAGTTCAACTTTTGACATTTTATAGTAAATAGTATTGATTTAGGTGGAATTCAGTGAAGGTTACAGAGATGGTGTACGCTCATGGAACAAGTCAGTCCAAACATGGTTGGCCATCTACGTATACTCAAGAGCTCCAAAGGCCTACAGGTAATTCATTACCTTTCTATTTATATTCTTTATTCATTTATTCTTCAGAACAGAGCTAACCATGTTCGTCTCAGCTTTATGGCACGGTACCTATGCTGGATATTTCATGTAAGAATATATATTCTGTAATATATTAATATTTATATCGAAACAGGTCCTTCCTCGTTGTTCCCATGTGTTTCGCTGCCGAAGATATTATCTTCAGCCTTATCTCAGTAGATGAAGCTGGTCGTCGTTCTCAACTTTTCCGTTGGTTCTATTGGGTTACATTCCGATCAAGAGGATTCGATATGTTGGCCGCAGGATTTTTATTGAAAAATTTTGCGGACGTACACAGGTGAATAGAATGGTGAATAGAAAGCTGAATGTAAACATAAATCAATTCAGATTTTGGTTTTCGCTCTATTATTGGCTTGTCTTAGTAGCATTACCAATCTACATAATTAATGCGATGCTAGTCAAATTGGGAATTCGGAAACGTAAATCAAAACAACAATAAAGCCCATTCGTCGTTATATTCAACTCTCATTCTTCTATTGTATTAAATTTTCATTTTTTGATTTTGAAATACTTCTTTAGTTTATTAAAACCAATAAATATGCTTACATGAGTTGTTTGTGTTATCAAGCATAAGGATGGTGTAGTACACAGGGTGGGAAGAATTGATTATAGAGGTCAAGTGGGGCAACAGCTGTTACTCAGTCTGCTGACAAAGCCTTTCAAAGTTATAGGTCATCATAACGTTATTATTGTCACCATCTGCATGATATAAGACATTTGACGAATTTTTTTCGAATATTCCTATGTTTATGTGCATTTTTCTTATTCGTATAGCTTGCTAGGACATAATGTTGTATACGTAGCAGGCTGAAGTACGACGGATTTCAGTCAATAAAAATTTGTTGTGCTTGTCTCTGCTGCTTTGCCAAACTGGTCTTAGACGGACAAAGCACTTGGACGCTTTAGGCAACATTAGCTTGCTAACACATGACATAGAAAAGTACAAACGCGTGATCTGTTGCGAGCGTCAAGCGTGCGTACGTAATTGCGTCCGGAGTGTCACAAGATCACGAAAACATTTAATAACATTAATTATATTTCTTTTATTCGTCCAATCAATAACTGTTTTCTTTGTTATTATATATTTCTGCTGCCTATCTCATGTTATTCGTTAAGGTTTCACCTGTGAAGCTGTATCCTAATGGAGCAAATCAAGGTCTTCTATGTAAATAAAGGTCATTTATTGACTTTTGAAATAGTAAGTGTTAAATAATATATTGAATTAATCATCATATAGCTATTGTTCAAACAATAATAATCATTTGTCAATTTTATTAACTCAAAAATATTCTTTTTAGGGTACATTACAGTTATTCAAGAATGTTAGATCACAGGTTTGCGAAGAAATAGGAATAGATCCGAAAGATCAGGTTTTGTGTTTCTTATCAAACAGTTACATTTATCAGATAATATTCTAGTTATGGATGTTACTTGATGGCACAGCTATAGATAATCAAAAGATGTTAAGCGATTATCCGGGTCATGGTAAGGGCTATTGATTATCAATCGTATAAGCTTTGTTAACAATTGATTTTTTAGGTAAAGACAAATCGCCATTCATTATATATCATATAAGGAATAAGAATAATATGAGTGACATGATGTTTAAAGGAGATCTCAAAGAAATATCCGATACAGTTGAATCAGCAATGGATAAGGTCTATAATCAGCTGAGCACTAACCGGTTCTGACTACTGTACTTTCAGATCAAGAGGATTCAGTCTAATAGTAATACAAACGATTTGTATACTGATTTACCCAATGCTGTATTGAACTGTTGTGGAAAAACGGCAATGCTGGTTAATGAATGGTGCACACAGTTAATCAATGAACATAACTTATTAACATCAGTAAGTACAGCTTGTAGAATCTAAATAGTAACAACGTTTTGCAGAGTTGGCAATGTATATTCGGGAGCGTAGAAGAATCATTATCACTTACTCAAAAGAAATATAAAATATTCAAAAAGAAATTCGATGAGGTTAGTCTAATCTAATTTTATGCAAATTATAAAGTCTTTACTATTTCAGTTAGACGGGAAAATCGAAGAAGTAGTCAATTTACAAGAGAACTATGCTGACTGTTTGCAATTACTTAAAAAGGTAAGGTATTGGAGGTTATTTATAATGCTCAAGTCAATGTTATTCAGATAAACTTGCCTGCTCAACTGTTAGCACACTCACGCAGTCAAAAGCTTGATCAAAGCCCCAAATCTACTAATTTATATGAATGGTTAGACAACTCTGATCCCAATAATTCCATCGACAACTTGGTTGATCAACTACTAGAGCAATATGAGCTGGTAAGCAGAAATATAAAGTAAATTATCATTCTTTTCTATAGATCAAGAAAACAAATGATAAGGCAGTACTTGAAAGTATTAACTATGTGGAGGATCAAACAAGAAACAAAGATTTACGTGAAATTAGTGGAATTACAAGAAGAATGCAAACGTTGAAGCAGAACCAAGCAAAAGTGACAGGTAGAGCATGAAGCTTTAAGATATGAGGTAATGGTTCATTGCAGAGCTCTTTGACAGAATTAAACACACTATACAAATAATGACAATGGCTTCACCTCCAATTACAGATACTTATATGATTCAGGTAGAATTTCCATATTCAATTGGATAATCTTATTTCATTTTAGAATAAAGTAGATGACTATATGCGAATGTCTGACAAGATAATGGAAGATTTACGCAAAATGAAAGAATATTGTGTTACATTCAGGAAATCTAAAGAAGAGCTTTTAGCTAATATCAATGCCCGAATTCACGGATGGGTCGTCATGGTGATTTATTTCAACTCGGAAGTTTCATGAGTTATTTCGTTTAGGCTTGTGATCGGATGGATAAATCCTTTAGGGAAATGGTTTACTTCCATGAGAGACGTTATGAGCTTTCAAGAAAAACTGAATTAGTTCAGAAAATTGAGGTTTCTTTCAAAATTACTGTCAATCTAACTGTTATGCTTCAGGCTGCTCCGGAAGTGTTCGCACAAAGCGTATCCGAGGTTTCAAGACGAAGCTTGTTTCGTAAACACTTTGTTACCTGGCAAAAAGCTTACATGAAGTTCTCTGAAATGTTATTGAAACAAGAAAAAGAGAAAAGAAATAACTTCAAAGAAATAATCGAAAACCACTTTTTGAAAGTTTTGTTCAGAGGTAAGGATTTGAAGCTTCATGATGTAATCTTGATAATCTTTAAGGACTAGAAGATCCAATGCCGGAATTTTTCAATAAAAACATTCCCAGTTTTGATATGAGCATTCCACCTTTGGATGAGATCTATGTTGATAAGATAACCACAGCCTGCCCTGAACTCACTATCACAATGGATATAGATTCACAGGATATAGTTCGGAAACTGATGCTACAGTAGGCATTCATTGTGTTTATTCAAAATCTTTCTTCATTATCAGAGCACAATGTCTGAATGTGAGTGCAATAAGTCATGATTCTCCTGAATCTTCCAACACACCAACATCCTGCATACAGTCCAGCAAGGTAATTCTACTTCATGCCGCTTTATTACTTTGACCAATTTAAGGACAATTTCGATTCCATTTCTGGTTACACCAATTCTGCGAATCGCTTATCTTTATCCGAGAGAAAGTCCTCTGAAGACTCTCCACCCCTTATTGTAAGTTTCCCACTATCAGTCTCAGTTTTAAGAAATTCTTTACAGGATCAAGAAACTCAGAGCTCGGTTTTCTATCCAGATTCTCTGTTCAATGAATACAAATATATTATTTCGGATGTTCAATCCATAAAGAAACAGCTATCACTTTTACGTACTGATTTCGAGGAAACTATTACTGAAACTTCAACAAACTTCGCAAATATGGACAACATGGTCAAAGAGCATAAAGCTCGTGAGGAAAGAGAGAAAACAAAAGTGAGTATCAATCGAGTTCTTTTTATAAGACTGATTTGATTGTAGGAAAAGATTATCGAGCCTGACGCTGACGATAAGATGGATAATGTAGTAGAGGTAACTCAGCAAAATATGATTTCAAGAAGTTCTTCCTTTAGCATCAAGGAAAGGAAATTGTTGATCTGAAAAAGTTGTTGGACAATCAGGCGATTATGATAGAGATGCTCAAAACAGAGCTTGGTAAAGATAGGAGTGACACGGAAGAAAGTACGATAATGTTTAAAAGTTCCATTGAAAATGGAAACATGGCAAACTCAGGTGAGTATCATATTCATCGTAGTCATTCTGATAGTCTTTAATTATTCAGTAAGCTTTTTTGCTGAAAAGTTAGACAAAGGGATATCCACAGACAGAAATGATCAAGCAATTGACGCTTCAGTATACGGGAAAGCGGAAAATGGAGATAAATTCACCCAAACGCGACTGAGTAAGCTCAACATAAATAATTAAAAACGTTTTCCATATATGTTCAGATCTGAAATCAATGGAGATGATGATTTCTCTTCATGATATAAGTGAAGGGGCTACTGTACTTATAGTTTATGATGAGCGATATCAAGCATTCCTACTATTTAGTTCTTCTCCTTATCTACACTTTGTTAAAGAGTCTAGTTTACGGAGAATGAACTTATTAAGCCCCACGGGTCCTGTGCGAACTTGGTTCCTCGGAAAAGTCAACAGCCTGGATTTATGTGTTATTAGGAAAACAAATAATAGGTTGGTATTATATGTATACTTTCATATATCATATACTATTTGAAGATATAATCTTGAACTGAATACGCGTGTCTACCGAGTGGATGTTTCCTCGGTGTTACTAGACGTCAGAGGAATTAATGTGAAAACCGATTAACTCAAATTGTTATCTGTTCCAAACAAAGTTAATTGGGAATGCATTTCAAACAAAAAGAAATTTTATTTTTGTAAATTCGCATGTCTTTGCCTTTTCAATTATGAACTCAATAAAACTTGTAAAGTATAGTTGTTTGTATTTCATTCTTATGATATAGAAAGGATGTGAGTAGTTAGGCATGATTTCAAACTTCACTACTATGAATTGGAAACTTGTGATGAGAGTGAAGACTCTTCATTCTGTAATGTTCAGAGGATCAGAATACTTCTTCAAACAAAAATTATTTATTAAAAACTTTGAGAGATTGAAAAGGGAAATAGAATATCTGAGCAGTTAATCTATTGTTAGTATTTAATTAGATAGAACCAACGCTTAGTTAGGATATGACTTTGTAGTTTGAGGGAAGAGATCACAGAACCTGAAGCAATACAATTTGGCTTTCTGAAATTCGAAAAGGCTAAATGAAAGAAAAGTATTCAGAGGTAGATGAATCAATGAACCATAATAATGAGAATATATTAAGGTAAGCAGTTGGCTGTATGAATAATTATTGTAACTAAACACTGAAACCCCTTCGTCTACCATCATAAACTTTTCTGAGTCTGCTATGATGTGCTGAAAGAATGTTGATTCAATGAGATTGATGTGAAAACGATAACTCACTATAAACTTTACAGAATATGATATCTGGACGAACTGCTAGTCTCATGTTCTTGCCTGGCCCAAAGAAAATCCAATGATGCAGGAGATCTCCTAGTGCTTCTCTCATTGATACTCGTTGAGCATAGTTCATCTCCGGACAAACAGCAGAAGTTTTGATTCTCATACCAAAATAATACTTGCAAGACATTATACATCTTCGTTCTTCAGCGGTGAATGGCATGAAAAACCGTTTTTCGAGTCTTTCTCTTACGAGCTGAGCACAGATATAATTCATAAACTGAATATTTATAATATAATGAAATAGATATAAGATAGCTTTTACCTTTGTGACGGCTACTTTCCGACTCTCCTTCAGACCAAATCCCCAAGCGGTCAGCTCCCTGTAAAGGTGAACCAAGCTCTTTGTCATTGTTCCTATAGCCATTACTTCCTGCAATTGAAAAAAAAATTTTTTGAGAAAAAAGAGAATAGCGGAGAATAGATAAACTTGGAGAGGAATTATAAATGTTAAAGTCCTGTCATATGTTCAACATCATTCACCTATTTTTCAATTTCATCGCCAATTTCAGCCACGACTATGATGTATGAACGAGTAGTCTTTGAGTTATGAAAGCATAACCATATAGAATTTGAAAGGAAATGATATAATTCATGTCTCGAAATTGTATTTCTTTTGCATTCCATCAACATGATTCATATATATATTATTCAGAGTATTGTCAAAATAAAATGAATGAGTCAACGATATCTTCTCACTATCTCATCAGAATCAGAATTGAAGGCGGAACTACAAAAAGCTGCTTTCAATGCTAATAATTGTCATTTTTCTTTGAATTCCAGCTGTGAATTATATAGAAGACTAAATTAAACGTTTCGTTTAGATGAGAATGGCTCCAAATGCATCCGTTTTAACGATTATTTGAACTAAAGCATCGAGAGAAAGGAGTTCAAGTGCATATGATACTGAAGAAATAGTGAGGCAAATCAAGAGAAATAGCCTAAGTACTTCTATTCTATTTGGAAATTTTTCAAATTTGAATTTAATTCAAAGTTATAACAGAAAAATCAATTTTGCCAAAAAAAATTGAAAGATCCTCTTTCTGTTGCTACAGTTTGAGTCTTATAATCTCATAAGACTACTTGAAAGCTCTTCATAATAAATGTTTTTACTCAAAAGAGTTCGCTCAGTTGACGTTTTTTTATACTCGTGCACTTATTGAAGAAGAGCTCTCTGTTAGAGAAGGCTGAAAAAGCCGATGAAGCAGTGGTACCCTTGCACGAAAAATCAATAGACGCTTGACATGCGGGACGCTTTTGCTTCTCTAAGAAAAGCTTTCTATACAAGGGATTAATCCTTTTGTTTTTCCTCAATCCTACAGCTGACCATTAAGAAGAAATACAAAAATCAATGCATTTGCCAATGCTCACCAAACAGCTGAATGATGAAATTCGAGCCATGGGAAGGCTCTCTATACGTTCATTCGCATATATTATAAGTTTCACATAATCAAGGTTTCAAAATGTCGTTTAGTACATAGGAGCAAGGTTGTCTTATCAAAAAGGGAGTGTTTGGATAAGAAAACATATATTGAGTTGTGGTCGTTTGCTTCTGGGAAGGACAGTTGACTCTTGGGAACGACACGTATAATCACTTGCAAGACATAAACAGAAAGTATATCACAAGAATGAGCTTCCAAAGTAGAAAGTAGAAGAAGAATACTCAAAAATGGTTAGTAGGGGGAAAAAGCTTTTATGTATAAGCACTTGTTGCAAATTCATTATTTGATACTTTCATTTCAAATAGATTGAGTGCCGAGCATTGAACAAATGGAAACGGATCAGTATTGAAGAGTAGCTAAGAATATTCAATGAATCGACGTCATTACATGACGTACAAACTTCGTGAATAGTTTAAGCAGACTAAATCTTAGTCCAACGACAACTATACTTGTGACGAGCAGATGGTTCTAGTTCAGTTGTCTCAGTTCACTCAATGCATATTAGAAACAAACAAAGAGCATTGTTGACATAACGAAAAAAATCGATAAAGTTAAGGCATATGTGTAGCTGGAATAGACAAAGAGTTTCAACTGAAACACTAATTCGTTATGGTTAGGCATTTGCATGATTGGTTTACAACTGATGAAAGACTGGTCAGCGAGGACACGAGTAGTCTGGAAATCAGAAGGTTACAACCATGGCGAGTACACTATTGCATTATAAATCGAGAGAGATTGAGAGAGAAGGAAAAGGATTGACAGTTAGACGAATTGATACGTTGCGGTCAGCCTATACATCCTTTGTGTAAGTGCAAAGGTTTAATTAGGACACTGCACTATGAAGATGAGAACAGAGAAACATAGACAACACATAGGTTTGGTTGGCAATGACAATAGTCTATTAGTGTTAGGACAGATAGCAGACTGCGTAACCATTGGATGACCGTAACCATTGTAGAGAAAATCAATATCCATATACGTACTGTCTTTGAATGCGTACATAAGACTTTGATAACCTCTAGTTATACTTTGTATCTTCCTATCTGATATATAACAAGTAGCAAGCACTGTATAGACAAGCAGACACTGCCACTTGTTATGTAGAAGATAGGAAGATACAAAGTATAACTAGAGGTTATCAAGTGTTGTATTCATGTGACCTCCCTTTGTAGTATCATTGCATTGTATCTGTAGTGTATCAATAAAATCATAATTAAAGAAAAAATATTTATTATAAAAGAAAAATGATAAAACATTAAACTAGTTAATTGATAAAGAATATTAGCTAATGATAAAACAGTATTGCAGAATATTCACAAGGTGTTAAGAAATTAGTAAACATCACTTAGTCTTCTTCATCGGTATCGTCGTTCCTTTCGAATTCATCCATATCACTGTCAGAGCTGACCACGAAGACATCCTCAACATCAGAATCGTCAGTGCTTGATTCTCCTCCAACCATTATATTATCAATCAAATTCAATCGCTGCATTGCCATGGCTTCATTGAGAAGAGGATGTTGACCGTACACTTCCATTTCATCATTGGCATCAGGTACAGCAGCAGCAGCAGCAGCTTCACGAGCACGAGCAGCGGCAGTATTTCGCTCAGCAATGCGGAAGATTTCATCCATTGGAAGCGCAAGTGAGGGATGGTGCTGTTCATGAACAGGAGCTGGAGGTAGATTATTCTCACGTCGAATATTAGGATCTGCTTGATAACGTGGCTTGCCATCGTTTGGATGGGGATTGTTTCTGAGCAGAAGGCTTGGATCCGAGACGACATCATCAGTGAGGGGGTTATTTGCCAATCTATAAGCCATCATATGCCAGAATGGAACGAATCCTCCTCCGTGAGGTGTAAGCCTTGGGCGTGGACGATGGTTTCCTAGAATTCGGTGGTAGGTGATCAGTCGGACTACTCGCAAGATTTTAATGTCGTCATCCACATCCTCCGATACTTCGTCGCTTATAGACCTGAAAAAATTACTGTATGAAAAAAAAATGTAAAAAACTCACTCGTCTTTGAACATTTCAGTTCCATCTCCATCCCCAAAGATGTTGGATCCTCCTTCTTGGTACATGAACTCGTGAAGTAGAGAGCACATTTTCTTCATGTAATCATCGAATTCCTCATCGGTCAGTGCGCATGCCTTGATGGCTTTGTACTTTCCATTAAGAAGATATTCGTTGGAAAGAAGATAATTCTTGTAGTTGTTTGGCATCTCCAGCGTAATGTCATAGTCGACTCTCTCGTTGACAATTTCGAGCGAGATACAATTTAAAAACTAAAAGCAATATATCATAAATGAACATGCAAAAAAGTAAATACCTTGGAAACTGCATAGTTGACCCTTTGCTTGCTGGTGAATCCCCATGAAATCATCAAGTTCTTCAGCGTATCCATGCAGAAATTGAGTTTAAGTTCAGCGCGTTGCTTCTGTTCGGCTGGCAGCTCTGGTAACTCCATTGCCACAATTGGTGGCATTTGATCTCCAAGGTTGTGGTTCCCAGCATTTGGCATCTCAGCGTTTGGCATCTCAGCGTTCAACATCTCAACGTTGTCCATTACACGATCAATGACGATTGTCTAAAAAACAAGAACTAAGTAACCAAAAACGAGAAAACTACAAACAACAACGATAAAAGAAAAACTAAATGACTGAACATATTGAATAGTCAATGGAACACCGTTCATCTGATGATGTGAACACAATGAATGATATGATTCTATAAATGGAGTTATATCATGTGTAGATCATTATTTCCAACGTCATTACTCAGATTACGTAATTTGAAACAATTTTTTGATCTTAATTTGAAATAATCTGTCTCTTTCTCTCTCTCTCTTCCCTCACCCTCTCTCTTTCTCTCTCTCTCTCGCTTCCCGCATTCAATCTCTTTCTCTTTCTCTCTCTCTTCCCGCAATCTCCTCCCTTTTTTTAAAAAAGTAATTTGAATGAGCAGATAATGACAAAACATTCAAAGAGTTTGTAGTTTGTTGATGACTGAAAATGAAATATCATATGTGTCATACAGTAACCTTTTGATTCAGATAGTTTTTATATATTATTGTATTAAGATGATGTGGTTAGTCATTATGAATGATTCTATCTAAATGATTATATAAAATATATATAATAGAATGACTCTATGATGATGATGATGAGTGTGTATGTATGTATGTGTGTGGTCTGATAACTGTAGAAGTCTAGATGATTGAGATGTGTTTGATTTGAATTTCATTTTTTTGAATTAATTTACAGTTGTTTCTTGATTGTTATTCCAAAACATTCATTCATTTTACAATAGAATGAATATAATGAGATTTAGAGATCAATAGAGTAGATAAGACTCGCCCCTTAACCGTTTCATCTTCATCTTCCTGCTATTAACAAGATATATTCATTTATATAATAGAAAACGATTTCCCACCCTGCTGTCTATATATACATAGATGGATAGATATGCATGTGTATTTCTTCAAAGATATCTAATCATTCGAAATATTCTTTCTTCTTTCTCTTTTCTCTTTTCTCTTTTCTCTTTCTCTTTCTCTTTCTCTTTCTTCTTTCTTTTTCCTCTTTCTCTTTCTCTTTTCTTTTTTTCTTTCTCTCTCTCTCTCTCACATATAACTAATGATGTCTATATATACATATTCTTTCATTGAATATGCTAAATGATGAATATTAGTTTCATTCATTAGAATTTTTCTATTTTTCATTTCTATTCTCATGTTGATAGTTTTAAGTCTCATCCATGTTTATTTCAAGCAATTTCGTTTGAGTGAAGCTTTACAAGCCTCCAAAGAAGTCATGGCTATACCCTCTGTGTCTCTTACAATCTTTAGCGTTCTCATTCATTTCCTCAAATAATATTGAATTGTTCACCAATTTAATTCTTCAATTAGAAATGAGTTCTTTTATCCCACCCCTTCCACTCTCCTGCCTCAACCATACTGCATACCCATTTCCCTTCATATTTCTCATTTGGTATATTGCTTCGTTCCCCGGGTAGCAGCTCGTTAGCAACACCTACCCATGTACATAAATCAATAAACGCTTTGCATTCTCTCTACGCTCGTTTTTGATTATTTCCAATACCACGCGTCAAGCTTTCAGTTCCTACTCATACTACCTTACTTCTATTAATCTAATTCATTGTTTTTAGGTTCAATATGACTTACGCAACTATGAGTAAGAGCTTAGTACACTTGTATCGTGAGCTTACTCTATGGGGATTCGGACAGAAGGCTAGCAGAAAGATGGCTGTAACCAAGGTTATATTTATTTCTTTACCCATAATAATCTATCTTATTTTCAGTTTATTAACTTTATCTGCGCTCAGCTCATAAGGGAAAAGCTCGAAAGGAGATATTTCCTGCCTTTCACTATTGATGAGAGAAGATCTATACTCTCCTGTAAATACTATTTCAACATGAGAATAAGACAGGCTGTTACTTGTCCGGAACTCAGCTACTTCGAAAGAAGTTCAATCAGAGAATCTTTGGCTGATCTTTTACATCATTGGATCTTCTTCGGACCTGGCAAGACTATGTTCATGACTGTTCGACCACCAGTCATCTATGGCAGAGTCTATGGTGAGGTCTTCCTATTAAAAGGAAATTCACATATATCATTCCAGCTCATCGCTGCAGACTCCGTAAAGTAAGAGAAAATAGAGATGGTCCATTCTACCCACTTGGCCACTGAGAACAGTTGGAGTTTGTGCATTTCACATTCTGCCCTTAACTCTATTCCTGCTTAAATAGTACGCAATTATCCATTCCTCATCAATATATTCAGTAGTTGTGATTCTATAGTGAGATGAGAGAGCAATAGTGAGAGAGAGTAAGAAAGAAAGAGAGAGCGAGTGAAAGAGAGATGTGTATCGCGTAACTACTCATCAGAATTTTTAATTTTTTTTCTTCCTTCCTCATCTAAGTCTGAATATCCTTCATCCTAAGTCTTAGTATACTTTAGTCTTGAAAGAGTCTCTATACACTTACAAAGTAACAAACAGATATCAAATTCATTTTTCCTTAATAAAACATAAATATCAAAGATAAAACAAGTTGATCTAAGCAATATAACTTATATCCATTGAGTACCTACAACCATAGAAGAAATATAAAAATTGAAAAGATAATATGTAAATGTGAAGTAAAAGCTGAATTACATAGATCGGATGAACAACAGCAAATCGTTCCTTGTAGGCCATAATCACGATGTGTTCGACATGTCTGATTTTTAGAACTTTTCCTCCAAGCTGTATTCAGGCCGCTTTCAATATCATCACAGTCGACTCGATCGCATCCAAGTGAAAAGCCATTCTTCTTACGTGGATTAGAATCACGATATATAACAGAAATACAATATTTTTCAGATGAACAGATATCAGGTAGAATACGCATGCGTTTGCCATCTTCTTGAAAATCATGATGTAAATGACATCTCAATCCATCAACCATAATTTGAGCAGTTAGTATAATGAATACAATAATCATTGTATGAATATGTAGATAGTAAAGAGGAAGAGAGGTTAGTTAGCTATATGTAATTGATGTGATTCAATCTCAATAGATGAGTATATGTGAAGTAGAAGATTGTTGAGTTGAATATAGGCTAAGGTATTTATCGTTAGAGAAGAGAGACAAACAGAGGGAATGACAGTTGAATATAGTTTATGTGCTTTTTGTTTCATTTAAACAACTGGAAAATATATTACTCTTCCGACGTCACGCAACTAATGAATAAAGAATTAAAATAGAAACAAAGAGCATTATTTAAATTCGTGCAGTTACATCTATAGAGTAGTATGTTATTCTATGAATACATATATAGAAGCAATCATGAACAGTATTAATAGCTGACATAATATTCATTGCAACAAACATGTAGTACAAAGGTAAACTTTTTCATTTTAATGAGTTCAAACTATATTCGAGAGATACATCTTATCACATCATCGATTCAAACATTCTCTCTTTTAAACTTAAATGATATACGGACATCTGATTTAACAACTAATATGTGGTTATAGAAGGGAAGAATGAACAGAGTAACATCTGTTACAGTGATACTTGTCTTCAATACACCGGGATGTGAGTTACTTGTGATTGTACAGAATCATCTGTATCGTTTTGTTTGTTGTTAACATCTAACTGCCGTCTTCTTCTGAATATGCTTCATCATATAAAACCATTATAAGATATCTATTTACCTATAGTGTAGATACTCAAACAACAGAGTTATCATAGAGAGTAATATACCAGCCAGAATCATGATGAAAACACCACCAATATTCTGAATTGATATACCATCACTCTCATCTGCTGTATCAGGACATGATAAGCGATTCGGATTCTCATTCCACCATTTCTCTTTTAAAGCTTCCAACTGTCTTTGATTTAGAAGAATCAAGATTCTGTAATATGAAAGGAATAAGTGTTTAATTGAGAACAGTTCCAATACGAGCTTGAGATGTTATCTTTCAACACATGACCATTCTGTACTGCAATCGCATATGGTTTACGAGAAAATTCAGTTCCAACTTGTTGTAATTTACAATTGGTCAAAGCTGCATACTTGATTTCTGTTGCATCACCTGAATTCGCTTGTTCAATATTTTTCTTAACATAGAAAAAACCTATAAAAGCAAATCCATTAGGAGAGTTGAGTACTCGATCAATAGCCATTGTCATATTCTCTGGCAGCTTTGACTCTTGCATATATCTGAATGGTAGTTGATTGCAACAACTTTAACTATAGACAACCTCCACATATTTGTAAACTTATCGGAGACAGGATAATCCCATACAGCAAGTTTAGCTCTTTCTCGAGGAGACATACTCTCGTTCAATGACATTTCTTTCCAAATTCTAAATCAGACTGGTTATTCATATTAAAAAGATGATAATAGCACATGTAAAACTGCTCTTCTATCTCTGCCATTCTTCGGAAATATGTTTCAGAAGCACTTCCTTTAATGGGAGCATACTCAATTTTATATTGTTTCGCCAAATCATCCAGTGATCTGAGAAATCAATAAAAGTCTTTTTCAATCAATTCAAATTACGTTATTGGTTGTTCAAGTCTAGATACAGTGAGAAAGGCTGCCAAATTAGCTGTATAAGATGCAATGATGATGAAACCAAATAGCCACCAGCTTGCAGCTACTAACCGTCCTGAGAGGTTTTTAGGTGCTTCTCCTCCACCTAAATCAACATATAATAGAAATATGGATTGAAAAGACCTTGAGGCGTTAATGATGTCATACAGAACCATAAACATTCTTTTAAGGTAAAAACTCTTTTCTCCGTATCATGAGCATATCTGCAACAACAACAGCATGGTCATACCATTACTATACAAAATAAATTTTTTGCCTTTCTGCGTTGTTTGTGTAAGAGAATGGGCTGAACTTATCAAAAACCCAAAGGAGTAGAGAAGTGAATATGTATGCTGCAAATATACAAAGCCAAACAGGCCATTCCAACACCTTAATGATCACATAAGCAACCGACTCCACATTTACATGATTACTTTCATGAACTTGAACAACGAGTATTCAACATCTGCTTTCTTCATCAGAATTGTTGTACCAACAAGATCATAGTATGGTACAGTGAAATCAACATCATTCTCTCTTTCAGCCATTACACTCAAAGGAGCTAATGCTATATCAGCTGATCCAGATACTTCAATGAGTAAATATAGTTTATTGAAAAAAAAAGTTTATAGTTTACCTAAAGCTCCTATCAACCCGTTCCAATTACCATTCTCATCTTGAGCACCGAATGAACCATCTTCAACTTCATATATTGTATAAGTGAAGTTTAACCTTTCTTGAATGAGATTGAACAAGTCAATACAGTAACCTTCATATCCACCGTTTGCAGAATATTGGACGAAAGGAGGTTGCTAAATCATATGCAAATTAGGTTCATATCATATTCAGATCTTACAATGATTGTAACAACTCGATATATAGTTAATAATCGGACATTTATGTCTAATGAGTCATACAAGTACTGTAATCGATCTAATGGACTCCATGTTCCAACCTGAAAATGAATGATTGAAGAGAAGCTTGATCGTCTAACCATTTTATTATAAATAACATCGGAATCTTCTTCAATCTGATCAATACGGTATATCCGAGTTTGAAGATTCTGAAGAAAAGTTGTTTGAGATTTCTAGAATATGAATAGATAACCTTGAAGAATACATTTCCCTGAACAGAAACAAGCCTTCCAAAATCATAATAGTTGGTTAAGTTCAAATTGTCGGTAACCAAAAGTGCTAACGATTGCTCATCATTTAGCTTCTCTTCATGAGAACATGAAAAGGTCGGCTGATTTAAAGATGTGATGTTTATGGCACTAACATAGTGCAAAGCACTATTCATAATCGTCATCGCGAACTCAACATCAAGCTTCATGAATTATTTTAGGATGAAGAGAAGTTCTTTTTTTTGTACCTCGTCATAGCCTTGAATATGATAGTTCAATTCAGTTCCTAACTCCTTAGCAGCCAAGAACTCTCTTAACGACCTAATCATCTGCAAACTTCCATTGGGATATGGTCGAAGCCAAAATAGAAATGTAGAAACGCACTCATCGCACTTGAAAGGGGTTACATCCTCAATTGATTTATAATATCGATGCTATACTTAATTAACCTACTTTAGTTATAGTTATGAAGTTGATAACACGCTTTTCCATATACTCTTTAGCTGATTCAACATACTTGATAACATTTTCTGTTTTCGCTACAAATATGATGTTTCCGTTATTGTTTGTCAGACTATTCAATTGATGTTTTATTTTCTTATCACCATTCTCCATTCGATGGAATTTCGTTGGAACAGGAAGATTCTCAAATGGAATTTTCCATGATACGTAGGAGTTATCTATATGCACATAGTTATAATGATTAGTGTGTATGAAATGAAACCATAGAGATCATCGTATAAGACTGCTGTTGCAGTCGTTATGTCCAAACTAGGAAATATATCTTCAATGACTCCATTGAATATAGGATTTGGGTTTATGATTGTTATATAGTTAGGAAGAATGTTATAGTTAAGGTTATCTGTAAGAAAAATCAGCAATTAGAAGTTAATCACGAGAACCACAAACCTTTTCCTATCAAATAGTTATGTAAACTGGAATAATTGCTCATCACTTGAATGATTGGTATTCCTGATTGTTCAGCTCCTGTCTTCAATAAGTTTTGATTTTCCTCATGACGACTTAAGCTTATAATGAAATGAGCTAACTTAATGGTATCACAAACTGAAATAGTAAAAGAGGTTTATACAGTATACTAACTATATGAATCAAACTGTTTTCTAGAGATGAAGGCCTTGGTAGGATGACTCGAACAATACTAAAGTTATGATAATCACTACTCATATCCTTATAATACATAAAACTAATATTTAAATGATCAGCTAATCGGCTTGAAAAATCATCACCATCATCTACAGCTATTTCTGTAAAAATGAATGTTAGATGATGAAAGGAATGAATGCAATGTAACTTACTTATAAGCTGTGTTGTATTTAAATGTAATAATATTAAAAATATGAAAAATTGACATAAAAACGAATACATTCAGTTAGTGTGTGTGTGAGTGTTGAAATAATGAAATATGAATGTATATTAGGTTAAATGCAATATAATCCTTATTCGCCATTAGGTTATAGAGCTTAATCAAACATATCGTTTCATATTGCATATTCATGGAATATCTATGAATTAGCAATATTAAGTTATCTCTAGTAAAACAAATATTTTCATTGTTTGCTTTTCATTTTTGAATGTTCGAGTGTTTATCCATTCAAATAACTGTAACAGAAACGTTGTCCTTCTCAGTTTTCATTTGAAATTCATCCGAAATTGTCATATTCAAAGAACATCTCATTCATTCTCCTCTCTCAGATTATCCTAAGACGATTGATATGAAAGGATTTTCAGCTGAATCGTGAGAGTTATTCACTCACACACACTGCAATTAACATACGTTGATTGATACTCATCACATCGATGTTTAAGATAATTGGAGATGACTCACTGTTACACTTTACCATCAGTTCCTGTCATCATATCATGGTTATCAGCTCCATCATTCGACATTGTTGAGAGTGGTATAGTACATTCATACCATTGCGGTACAATACCGGAATTCCCTCACTTGCCCATGCTGTGAATGAAAACTTCAGCTTTCTTCTTCAAATATGTTCTTCCTGATAAGGTAACAATATTACTGTACGAAGTTATGTTTTTAAAAGCAGTTTGTTCATTATTTGTCTGGCGACTGTGCTCCATTGGCGCAGTTGGTTAGCGCGTGGTACTTATAAGTATGAGATATGCCAAGGTCAGCAGTTCGAGCCTGCTATGGAGCAAAGTTTTTTTGGTCTAACTACGCGGTTTCTTAGGGACTTTGAAGTTTGCTTTAAGGCGCCAGATGTTCTACATTGTATTCAAATAAATAAAATGACAAAAACCTTCCCAATACATTCACAAGTACAAAAGTGATTTTGGCCATATCATCGAGAGACAACCAATCATCTGTGCGCGGCTCATCTGGCATCCAACGTAATGTGGTCTGTGTGTTTCTGAAAATTGTAACCTTGTTCATCTTATTTTAGTTTCAGATATGGGAGAATGGCGCTCACTTTGAAGAAAAGAAGAACATTCATCATAATGTGGCGTTAGTCTGAACTACAGTAATCCTCTTATGCAAGCTTAAGCATATGCAGTTCCTCAGATCGAAGAGCTATTCATAAAAAACGTCTTCTGAAATAAAGATTTTATAAAAAACGTGGCAGAAAGTTGACTCGAAACTGTCAAACAATAGATTTTCAACACAAAATAGGAAAGAATATGAAAAAAAGTCGTAGAGGCAGTGAAAGATTTTCATCACGCATTGTCTTGTTTCACTCTGGGAACGTCAGCGAAATAGTGTATCTGCAAGAAGAACTGTATAGCATAAAGGATGTATACCTGCAAAAGTATCTATCAAGCTTTTCCAAGCTCATATCTTCGCTTATGTTTCTATATATTCATCCGAAACCATTGTCTTATCGATTGTATTTAATCCCATTCAGAGAATTCTAAGAAACAATAGGTTATCCAATTGTCCTGACTTTCAAATATCTTTTACGTGCCAACATGGAATTTTTTTCTTTTTTCTCTCCTTTAGCACGTCGAATTGGTTGAATTTAATTGAAATTCTTATGCCGACGACAAAGAATTGTAGTTGTTGTTCTAAAAGGAAATAGATATGATGAGATTGTATAACTTATAACAGGAAAAGTCTGATTACTTTACTCAGTTTATGAAAAGATAGCCATTCACATCTCTTTCTCTTTCTCTCTCTCTCTCACTCAATCTTTCTCTGACCATCTTCTCCTCTCATTCATAAACGATATCTCAAACTGCCCTAAACGCATACAAAGGAGGTTCAGAAAAAAACACACAAATCTATTGTTTTCTGACTTGAATTTATATGTTGGCAGATTCATTGAAAAACCATTTATCTTCATTCTCGTACTATCTTTCATCCCTTCTTCTTGAACATGACCATCTCGTACAACTACTAATGATTTATAATTTGAATATATTTGGTGTGAAAACGGTTCAAATGCTTAATTTCTTTCTCAGTCCATTCAGATTCTTTCTCTATCTTTCTCTCTCTCTCTCTTTCATTACCTCTCTCTCTCTACTTCCACTTCTCTAATTCTGGAGTCTTTCTTTCATATCTCTTTCATATGTTGTTCTCATGTATTATCTAACAACATTCACTTTTTCCTAATTCCAAGAAAATTTTCTGGTAGAGAAGGCCATGTTTAGGGAAGATTCAAATTTCCAATGTTGAATTCAAACTGCTCAACAATCATTGCATCATGAAGCGATTCTCTTTCTCTTTTCCTCTCATTTTCTCTCTATCTCTCTCTCAAATGTTAGGTATTACTAATGCTTTGTCACAATCGGTCGAATGTCTGGAAACAGCACCTGTCCTACCACTAATTGTTATCCTGCTCCGAAGAATTGAGCGTAATCGTTAACACATTTAATTCATATTCTCCATGGCCAACAAGGTAATTTGAATATCACTCTCTTCAGTTCCATGTTGTCTATGATTTGAGTGAGAGATGCATGTTTGGCCGAATAGATAGAACTCTTCGAATCTTTTTCTCCACCCAGATCATAGAGAGCATATACCCCTAAATATGTGTATAGTTTAGCACAAACTCTTTTCAAACCTTCTTCGCCAACAAAACTTTGATATCGGTCAAATTACAGTTGTTCTCATATTCTCGTCAGAAATAATACTTAGCATTGTTCAATGCTTTGTTCTTAAAACTTTTGGTATCGTTTACTTCTACCCTTTCCTTTCAAAATTTATGGAAGTTCACACTTGACCATGATTATTCCTTTGGTTCAGCCTATCCATCTGATATAATGATATGCTGAAACTTATTTAGATTACAATGAGTGGGGACTCGATGATGAATTGTCTAGCAAGTTGGTTAGGAAGCCTTCGACGTTGGGGCTTTGGTGATGAAAGAAGCATCTATGCAGCTCTCGTAAAGGTAGCTTTAGGTCTAAAATAATATAATAATCACTTTTTCAGTTTATGAATGATCTCTCGGCTCTCATAGAGAGAGGAGAAAAAAACTGTTCGTCTATTCAGCTTACAGAACGTCAGAGGAAGGTTGTGAGATCATATGAATATGTACAAATTTGGTGTAAACCATCCGTTCGAGTGCTTACTGAAACGCATATGTCACTATATCAAAGAGCGCACTTGATCAAAGCTGTTCGTCAAATACTACACGAATGGATCTTCAACGGTGATGGAAAAAACATCGATTTCGAAATTCGACCACTTGATCCATACTGCAACGAGTTAATGAGATAAATTGAATGGGTTTACATTAAACATTACAGTGATGATTTCTGTGTGGTCGACGATAGTTCTGATGAAACGACAGACGATGATACCATTTCTGAAGAAGACTCCGAAGATAGTAGCTCTCATGACGACGAAACAAATGAACAGAAAGATGAAAGGAGTGAAGATGATAGCGCTCATAAGGAGGAGAAAAATGAAAAGGAAGATGACAGTGTTGTAGATGATGATGCATCATTTGATGCAAAATTTGACGACGATAATACGGCTTTAGCTGAATGTCGGAACGAGAATTCAAGACCTTAGTATTAATTATGGAAAAATCTCAAACTGACCAAATCTCTATACTAGTGATCATCCCTCACTTCGTACTTCGCATGTGTGACGTGGTTGTTTTCATATTGAAGCTTTCATCCCAGATCTTTAACTATTGTATAATAATGAAACCAATGAATTAAATTCTTACTTTGTGAACATTTTAACATATAATCTTCAGCCACAGATGTCAAAGACTTGATTCGATGTCCATCCAGTACCCTCGTTACCCTCTACCTTAATCGAAGACGATGTTTTCGAACGATGATCAGTTAACCTTTGAGTTAATTTGCTTAAGATCACAATCAGTAATCACATTAACATTGTAAAGAACGAAGAAAATTGTTGCCAGGATGACCAATTAGAAGAAGTTCATGAATCCTCTTTCTGCCAGATATCACAACTTACCAATCATCACCTATAATCACCTATAATCAGTCATTTTCTTAATTCTTATTTGATTTAATCACCTCAAGCATGTTCTACTACGCTATTGCTATGCTCGTTATCATCATCATCGT